CCTAGCACTGAAAAGATCATCATGTAAACACCAGGGGTTCTGAGAAGGACATCCCATAGATGTGGGTCACTTCTAAAAATATGCTCTCTCTTGTTGTAATCTATAATCTCGCATGGGCCTCAAATGATGACTTTATCTGGCAACAATCTTTTGCACATGATCTCTTTTATCATTCTGGGCATCAGTCTGGTGGACAGAAAAGTCTACTGGAATCCTAGTGATCATAATCATTCTAGCATGCCTATACCGTCTGAGCACTGAAAATGTGAAATGAACCTATGTCCAATCGATTTATCAACATTTAATTTCTGGGGAGAACACAAGCTTCATAGATTAAAAAATCTGTTTAGCCACCCACTAATGTCCTTACTAGTTGTTTTGATCTAAGTAGGTAGATAGATCTCTACCCATTTCAGGACATCTCAATTTTCTGGACTGAAGAGCCACAGAGATCACTGTCTTCTTGGATGACATTAAACCGATTCTTTGTTCCATCCTACAAATTTATATTCTCATGGAGAAGATTAGTGATGGCTAGATATTTGAAACTTTGAAATCCCAATTTGAATGGGTAGAAAGTTTTGCTGCATGGGAGAATCGTATACAATGCACAAAATTCTAATACTAGCATAACTAGCAGATCATTAAAAGAAACTGCTGTGCTACTATGATCAGATCTGAAATATACAAGGAATATAAGACTGTGCCCAGGGAAACCCCATAGGCGATACTGAAGAACAGGCTTCCTCAAACTGCGGCTCTCCAGTTGTTTGGCCCTCCACCTTCCAGAATTTCCAACCTTTGAACAGGCTGACTAGGGCTTCTGGAAGTTGGAGATCAAGACAGTTGGAGGGTGGCAGTTCAAGGATGCCTTCTGAAGAACAACAGGCTACACTGCCAGAGCAATCAATTCCTCAACCTCTACTGCATTGGTTCTCAACATCTGTGAGTCCTCAGATGTTTTGGCCTTCAACTCTCAGAAATCCTAACAGCTGGTAAACTGGCTGGGATTTCTGGGAGTTGTGGGCCAAAACACCTGGGGACCCCCATAAGTTGAGAACCACTGCTCTACTGCAGCACTATTTCCAATTTTAATTTTACATTTGGCCTTCCCACAGTTTTAATTGTATGTTGTCTTATTGATAATGTTATATGTTTATTGTCTATGTTCTTATTTTAATTGCTTGTATTGTTGTAATTATTGCTTGTATTGTTGTGTTTGGGCTCGGCCTCATGTAACCGAGTGCTTTGGGGAGATGGTAGCGAGGTACAAATAAAGTGTTGTTATTATTATTATTATTATTATTATTATTATTATTATAAATATAAGCAAACTAAAACAAGTGGCAACAATGCTAACATCAAAACATGACAATTCCCTCTCTGGATTAGCAAACTAGATGTAGTAAGTTGCTTGCTTTTTCTATGTTTTGGACAACAACTCCCATAATCCTGAGCAGTGGCCACACTGTTACGATTTATGGGAGTTGTAATTCAAGACATCTGGAGGATTATTCTGTTAAAAATCCCAGATCATGTTTCACTTCAGCCATATCTAATGATACAACCACTTCAGCCATATCTAATGATGATCTACATTCAATGAAGCAGATTTAAGACCATGACAGATTATGTTATCAACTTTTTTTCTCAGTCTCAAAGGCTCTTCAAGATCCCTTTGCATAATGAGCACCCCTTGTGCCACATCAACTACTGAAGCTATTCCACATCATTATAACTTTTAAAGGTTGATTAAGAGAAAGAATAGATACGATCTGACCAGGGTAACCAAGGGCTTACATCATATGCATCTCTCCTATTTGTGTAACAGATCTATGAATTATTAGACTTTTGGAAAGATGATTTATCCAACAGCCATGAGATTATTTAGCCAACTTTGGAAACCCTAGTCTTAATATGAGCAAATGTTACTGAGACATGTTTTCATCAATAACTTATTGCCCTGTTTAGAATCAAGTGTGATTGCAAATTGATCCAAGAGCTATAACAATATAATACAGCTCAGCCACACAAATTTCTGGCAATTCATTCCAATTAGTATGAGAACATGAAATAGCTTCCTTCCTGCTGCTCTGGTGGTTTCAAGCATGAAAATGTACTTTTTAATATGCTTGATTAAAATAAGGATATAATTGGCCCTCAAGTTTTGCAGAGGTTAGATATGCAGAATCACTGCAAAAGTAGGAAAAACCACAAATATAGGCTTGCTATTTGTTTTAACCAAAGAGAACATTTCCTAAACATTTCTAAATCTACCAGTTATTCTATTCACAGAACCACACAGGCGGGTCTACGAATGCCTAGAGAGAACATATTTTTGGCTTCATATAGAGGAGCAGCAGAGGCAGTAGCAAATAATAAAATCTATGAACACTTAACCTGCAATGTCAAGGAACAATCCTACTGTGTGATAAATTGGTTAAACTGAGAACTGAATTCCTATCTATACTCAGTCAAAATACTTTGCAGGGTAATCATGAACCATTCTGTTCTCACAATGGTTTTCCAGACCAAACTAATGATTTGCGGGTAAAAAAGAAAGTTTTCTTGCTCCTTTAGAAAATACTTGATCCCAAGGAGTGGATTTTTCCTATCAGATTGTGTTTTGAAACTCGGTGAGAATATCAATTTCCACACAATGGAACCTGCTCAGAAAATGCCATCACACTAATTCAAAAATGATTGCTCAGTCTGCAAATTAATCATAACTGGAATGCTTTTTCAGATCCCGAAGAAAATCAAAAACCCTCTAGAGTTAACAATGACAAGATGTTATATGAAATGGAGTCTAAAGCTATGGAACTGGCATGATTCTTATGATATAAAATAGCTGAATTGATGAACAAGTCAAAATACAAGGTTGGGTATAAAGATCACCCACATTTTGAAGGGGTATAAAAACGGAATGAAGTGATCTAGAAAAAAAATGTATATATTTCTGAAAAGTACATTAAAACAGTTTTGTTTTAATGGATTTTAAAAATCATACCAGACAAATCATTTTGGAGGGATGCAGTTTTAAATCTCCATGCAGAATTCGCCTCAACCCTACTTGATATCCTCAGTACCATGGCATGCTTATCAGTCTTGGTGATGGCTGAGTGGATGGTGCTATTACTGCTTCCGCATTTTCTGGCACGCCAATGGTCCTAGGTCTGCCAGGGATTTTCTTTTTATTGTGGACCCAGTTGCATTGAGATTATGCGTTATTACCACAGAACAATTGTTCTCATAATACACTTGAACAACAGAGCCCCAATGTTCACTGTTCCAACTCAGGATGGATACTGAAAATGGCAGTCCAACCTACCAAATTAGACCTGCCCAACCTCTCTTTCTCCATGACAGTCCACACAGTGCCCCTTGAATTATGGGAGACCTTTACGTCCCACACAATGATCATTTGGAATGTAGCTGTTGGAAGGAAGTGGTGGATAATGAATTAGTAGGTTTCCTTTCCAAATTTGATGTAATAGCCATTCAGGAAACTTGGTTAATGAGGGAGCAGGGCCCAGTAAAACTCCAAGGCTTCCAAAGCTGGAATGTACCTGCCCCAAAACTGAAAAATAAAGGGCGAGTTTCTAGTGGACTTTGCATTCTTATTAAGTAAGAACTGTAATGGCTGGGTGAAAAACTATACACTGAGAACAATTTTTCTCATCTATTAGTTGTGAAATTCAGATACAAGGATTTTGAAGTCATATTAGTAAACACTTATATTCCCCCAAACACATCCTCCTGTTATAATACTAATCACTGGATTTGGTTAGAAGTAGTAATGGATGGATTAATTAATTAATTTACGGCATTTATATGCCGCCCTTCTCACCCCGAAGGGGACTCAGAGCGGCTTACAAGATATATTTTCATACAATATATTATATTATTAGCATAGTACAATATCAGTATTATATTACTATATCGCACTATACCATTATATTGTAATATTATTAGTAATATTACATGTAATGTAAATATATAATTATAATTATAATATTGTATTATTATTACTAGTAATGTATTGTATTACATTATAGTGTTATAAACATCATATTAACATCATCTTCCCAATCTATAATAATATTATGTCCCACTTTGTTCATGTAGTTGAATCTGAAAACAAGTATTTTCACACAAGATTTAGAAATCTATCACCTTGCGCCATTCAATTGATTCTACAGGGATGTCAGACAACAATATCCTCCACTTATACATCCTTTTTCACCACTACTTTCATTTGTTTTCTTACACATCTTTCGAACATCAATTAAGAAGCAAAAGATGGAATGCCTGCATAGTAGTTTATCACAGTTAGCTTGAGGAGACTGCCATCTTGAAAACCTTAGAAGCTATGATTATAATGTACTCATCCACAAATGCACTACTGTATACCACATTTTTGTAAGTTAGATTGCTATCCCCCTCCTTCCTCTCCTCCATAAGGCTCTTCCTGTTCAGAAGATCCAGTTAGGGGTACACTGCTTAAGAATTGTGTATCTAAAAGCTGTGATATCCATTGCACCCACTTTCCTCACTCCCAGATGTAGAGAATGGAAAAACTGGTAGACCTATCAACTCAAAGATTCCTCAAATAGCAACACACACACACACACACACGCTTGGCCTTTCCTGATCTGCATCATGAAAAGATCGTGTTTTTTTTCCAGTTTTACTGGCTATGGATTCCCCAAGGTTTTCCAGCAGCCTTAGCCATATGATTATTACAAAACACTAAGCCTTCTTTTCATTTTTGGAACTTTGGGAGATTGTTATGCACAACTACTAGTTCCACATCACAGTCGAGGTGAAAAATGAAAGCTGCCATGGTAAGAAAGGTAAGTGGAACTAATGAGGCCCAGACAAGAGCCACAATATAACTATTCCTCCTTCTAAGGAATTTTGTTTTCCTGCAGAAGCCTGCTATCAAACAATGGTATGCAATACGCGCATAGTGAAAAATAGACATGTGAAATACATACCTTGTTCGTAAAGTAATGCCATGTTTGTATTTTTATTGGAAACTAGGTTACTTAAGAGAGCAGTCACACTCCGAATAGTATTTCCTAGCAGCATATCCTGATGATCCTGTAACGAGTAAAAAAACAACTGTGTAAGGTTATTTCCTAGCAAGTATACATGCAATACATAATTAGGATCATATTGTTTTGATTAGTCCTCTGGATTGGGACTACTGAAAGATCTGAGCATAACACATATTGATTTTAATCATTCTGAAATATTTTATTTTGCCCCATTATAATAATATAGAGCACTGAAAGCAATAATTTTATAAATAATACTGATCTAGACATAATAGTTACTATTATCAATAATTGTCTTACTCAAATGCATGGACTTCGTTAGATATTACATTCTTAATCAGTGGCCACTAATTGTATAAAAACATCCTATTAGGACTATAGTAATGAACTCCACATGCAGCTGCCTTTGAAACAAGAGACTTCAGTTTTAAGTGCAACAACTACATAGTTTACTGACTAGGACCTGATGTACAGAACATATCTAGCAGTCCTTAAATAACTATCATTTCTTGACCCATTTCTAAGCATAATTTAAGATACTGGCTATTACACTTGATTCCATAAACAGTTTGGGACTTAGTAATGCAAAGTTCCTATCTGCCTGAACTTTAAGATCCAGTTGACCTATTTGTGTGGTTAGTGACCAGAAATGGATCGTTTTCAGGTGTGACTCTCAGGTCTTGAGATACACTTCCATGTTCTAGTCAAAGGGCACCCACCAAGATAACCAAGGCTATTTATGTCTCCTAACCAGGCCTGAAACCAGATTGAAATGGGTCTAAGTAACCTTTCTCATTTAGTAATAAGTGGAGTTGGGAAGCCATCATAAGCTCAAGTACCGTGCCACAAAACAGAAAGTTGGAAATGTTGTTAGTTATTCTTAGTATGATCCAGGGAAGATTTTTTCAAAAAAAGGTCTTACATAGGTTTCTGTCAGACATGTTGGGAACCTGCCTTAAAGAGGCATTAATAGTTGTATCTTCCAATTCTATAACTCTATGCTTGAACCCTACTCAGACAACCCCATTGCGGCCTGTTCAATAAGCCAGAAGGGGTCAACCTAACCCTTGGAGCAGAGTTGCTCCACAGAACACAAACCGTTGCATCCATTAGGAGGCTCGTGTAAGCTATCTTGCCCTCAACCAGTTCTTACCCTCCTTGGTGATTTCTCAGTTTGTATGTAGCCGAGAACAGCAGGTAATGTGAAACCCATTCTACATTTATCAGCACTGACACAATTTACAAAATGTAACTAACTAGTGAATTAGGGAAAGGCAGCTCTGAAAATGCTCAACATGTTTTCTCTACTCTTCCTCTTTCATTTGAATGTCATGTAAGCCAATAAAACTAATAAAGGACTGTACACTACTTTGTATACCTGCTGAACTATGCTTCTGTATGAAGATCCAAAATTGGAGTAAGAAGTAAATCCAGAAATACTCTTTTTTATATCAGACTAAGATGCAAATCCCTCAAACTGCAGAAGACAACTGAAGGATATAATTAATGGGCAAATCTCTGCATCTAGGAGTTATCACCTTCAATACTTCTGCCTGTTGCCAATTGCAGATAGGAATATATTCAAAGCAGCATGATTGCTAAGTATTCCAATTCTAGACAGTGTTTTTTTAAAGAATGCTTGGAACTCAGACATTAATAAATGTGAAGGGAAAAGAATATTAGCTACAATAAAATTAATGGCTGTAGGAAACCATGCCCCTATGTTAAATGCAAATTGCAAAACTAGCAAAATGATCACCAAGATAAAAGTCAGGGATGATGCATCAAATACAATTCAATTCAGCAAAATAAATCTGCCAATCTGTGTCCAAAGCATATATTTGATGTTTAAAATGCCATCATAATAAAATTCATTTTGACAAATCAATCAGTATAATAGAGAAAAAAATCTGTGCACTATAATTTTTCACAAGGTTAACAGGATTTAATGATACTATACTTCTCTTATCAGAATTAATCATCAGATTATACACCTGTCTAATGAAACAATTTTACATGCATTCAATGACTAACATCAATACTGCATTACCTGCATAATATTGTAAAGCAATGCTTTAAGAGCTTTATATATGCTGATGACCTTGGCCTAACAACACAAGCAAAGACTTTGAAACAACTGAAAACTTGAAAGATCTCTCCAGTTACTAGAAAAATAACCACCTGAAGTCTAACTCTGCCAAGACACAAGTGTGTGCTTTCCATCTACGTAACCGTGAAGCCAATAAGAAATTGAAAGTTACCTGGAAAGGCCAAGAGCTCTAATACTGTTCCCATCCTAAATATTTTGGTGTCTCCTTAGATTGAATACTAACATTTAGGGAACACATCCTGCGGAAACTTACTGGCAGTGCATGGGGTAACTAGTAAGAACATCAGCCCTGCCCTTGTCTTGTTCAACTGCTGAGTATGCCTGCCCTGTTTGGCACAAGTCTGCCCATGCGAAGGAGTGAATATAGCACTGAATGAAATATGCAGAATAATCACAGGATTTCTCAAAACTACACCTGTTGATAGACTCTGTAAGCTAGCTGGCATTGCCCCACCTGATGTGTGACAGGAAGTTGCTGCTAACTGTGAGAGAAATGAGGTTGAACACAGAGAAAGCCACCAGCTGCATGGATATCAGCCGCCTCCCAGTAGACTCAAATCAAGGACAAACTTCATGAGAACCACCACTCCTCTTAGTGTTCTCCCAGCAACAGCAAGAGTATCCCTCTGGGCAGCTAAACCAGGAAACCCCAACTGGATGCCCATCTCCCATGAGGGTCTTCCTCCAGGGGCAAACAAAAAATGGGCAAATGGAAGTCCCTGAACAGACCCAGAAGTGGAGTGAGCAGATCAAAAGACAACCTGACTAAATGACACTACCTAAAAGGCTCTTCCACCTCCTTGTGCAACTGTAGAGCAGAAAAAACAACTCTGCATCTGTATGCTTACCCACAATGCCCTGCCACATGCACAGAGGAAGAATTGCTTAAAACTACAATGTGGTTGCTATTGCCCATTTTTTGGTCTAAAATTATTTAGCCACATGTGCTCCATTTTATCAGTTTTATACTTATTATGCAATGCTTTCAGCATGAAACGAAAAATAAACCCGCATAAACTCAAGGTAGATATTGCAGAATGTTCTATTTAAATTAGCACCATGCCTATCTTTGGCAACAGCATTATGTGACTTACAAGAATGTCAAACCCTGATTTGGACAATATGACGTGGGCTAGTCTTTTGCCCTGAAACCCCAATGCCTGGCCAAAATCAAACCCTGGGAAGGAAGCAGGAAAGGAAATTTAGACTATGAAGAACTGGCTGCTCTTAGCCCCTTGAGGAAAGAAAAAGTGAAGTACTTCACTTCCCAAGAAGAGGATGCCTCCAGGCAACAAACACCAGGCAACTTCTATGACTTTGCAAAATTTATGACTACTCAGATGTTAATTCAAGCTTACTAACTGCAACATTCACACTTTCTTTAAACAGACAAGGGTTCTTTCTCCCATCCAGGACATTCCACAGGTATATATATATACACACTCCACTTGCCTCACTACCAACAGAACCTCTGAAGATGCCAGCCACAGATGCAGGCGAAACATTAGGAGAGAATGCTGCTGGAGTATGGCCATGTAGCCTAAAAAAATCACAGCAACTCAGTGATTCCGGCTATTAAAGCCTTCAACCATGCAGTCAAGTACTTCATTTGAGAAAAGTCTACATTTTTTCTGCCACCACACAAAAGGGAAACTGGTGGTTTCTTCTTCATGCTGGGCTGCTTGGACCAACCATCATAGAACTTTATTCCACCTCTACACATCGAGGCATATTGTGGATATGGCAACTGTGACCAAGATAGTGAAAACTGTAATGAACAGTAAAAAAGATATGGAAAAATAACATCAGCACAAGAAATTTGGGGCAGAACAGTAGGACTGCTGAATCAGCTCTAGCATATCAGAACTAAGCCCATATCACATGAAGCCATAGGCATTATCTAAGCATGTGGATTTACACTGGATTTCTGAGGCTTGTGTACAAAGTATTTAAATTTCACACAATCAATCAATGAGAAAGGGCTGATCTAATTTATGTGTATGACACCACAGACTGTGGACATTTAATGAATAGTGCTCTTGACAGTTTTAATAAAACATAGCATTTGCCAGCAGAGATAATTAGAACTGAAGCAGCAAAATTCTAGTGTTTGGCAACACAGATGAAACAACTTCATTAAAATGTACAGCTTCAGCAAATGAAAGGCAAGAAAGCACTGGACCCTGAAGAATCAGCCTTCTCAAAACTAATTGCTTCAGTGCTTAAACAGGCCAACTATGAAATACCAAGGGCATAAGAAGGAAAGCAAAGAAAATAAGGGACTGGTTTGCAGAAGAGAACCCACTGAAACAACTACAGTTTTTTTAGGGCACAAGATTTTTAATTTGCATTTTAAGGAATGCAAGATGATAGAAGAAATTATTTCTGAAGATTGAAAATGAGCCTGGCATATAGGGATAAATATAATCTCGCAGAAACTCTGCAACCAGTAATTTGCAGTTTAGATCTTAACATCCATCTACACAATATGTTTTGAAACAATTTAACCTTTGGAGATAATCAATTCAATATTAATTCCAGTACTTTGACAGATCAAAACCACAGTAAGGGTTAATTTCAGATACGTAATGTAACTAAATCACTGGGTGCCATGACATTTCACAGTGTAATTTTATTCCACTTAATAAAATTAGAGTGGTTAAATTGCAATTACTTGGGGCATCTTTTTCTCCCTCTCTTTCTCCCTCTCTTTCTCCGAGTGACTGCATGACCTTTGTTGGCAAACAAGATAATTATTGTAAAAGGGGTGTGTGCCTACATACTGTCTGCTACAGATTCAATGATTTAGAAATTATATAAAGCAAAATATAGTGATATCTAACCTAGTAAATGTGATCTAGTTTATCCTTGGTGAGAAAGAAAATAATAAAATATACATCAATATTTGGTAAAAACTGACTGCTGAAAATATT